GGCTTTGCTTCTGTGAAGATTGACAGCCTTGGAGACCCTGTGGGGCAGTTCCACTCTGTCCTCTAGGGGCGCTGTGGGTCAGAATCAACTCCGGGACAGTGGATTTAATTTGAGCTTTGCTTCTGTAAAGACTGACAGCCTTGGAAATCCTCTGGGGCAGTTCCACTCTGTCACATGGGGTCTCTGTGAGTAAGAATCAATTCCACAGTAACCAACAACTGCTCTGTTAAGCAGGGAATTTCATTATATGCTGGCAGTAGGTCCCCCACCCACATAGCCTGTCACGTGTCTCTCCTTCTCCCCCAACCCCCAAATCTTATCTAATTCTCTCTCTGCTCTGCTGAGGCTGACCTAGTCTAAGAGGATTAGAGCATTTGCTAAATGGGACTGGGACAGGGTCAGGAAAGGCTGCCGGGAAGCCAAGGATCAGGACGGCCACCAGGTGGCAGCAGAGAAAACCGGAGAGGGGCAGCGGGAAGGGGTCAGGAGATAGTCCTAATGTGAGGGTTGGGGAAGAGAGAAGAGACTCTCAGAGAAGGGATACACTCACTGACTTTGCAGGACACAATGGTTACAAGACAACTGTGGATTCACCAATGTTCATATTATAAAGTCCAAAAGGAGTTTCTGGGTGTCACAAATGGTTAAGCGCTCAATTATCAGCCAAAAGGTTGGTGGTTTGAACCCACCCAGTGGTGCCTTGCAAGAAAGACCTGGCGATCTGTTTTTGAAAGATTACGGCCATTGATAACCCATGGAGCCTAGTTCCACTCTGACACTTTTTTGGTGGGTCACCAACCTGACAGCAACTGGTTGGTTGGTTTGTTTAAAGTTCAGAAGAATGTCCAGGTTGGCTGTTGGAATTTAAAACAATTGAGCTAGTAACAAAATTAATAGTATCTGAATCCTACATAGAAAACAAAACAACAAAAAATCAAATTTTAAATTCCATTTAAAATGTCAGGCAGTTGGAATAAAACCCCCAGGGGCGGGCTGTCAGCGCAATAGTTAACGAGATGAACATGGAGACCACTCAACCCCGGATGCCACACCCACACACTCCATGGTAATACATCCCTTAAACCAATAGACATGGGACACCAAAGGACCAACATTCAAACTGAGGAAACGCAGGACAAACAGGAGCGCATAATTATGAGGGGCACAGGGGGAGGGTTGCAGGGTAGGGAGGGAAGGAGACTGGATTAGGGTTGGAAATGGCGAATAGGGAATGAAACTAAATGTACGCGTGACTTTGAATGTAAAACAAGCTCTTCAAATAAAAATAAAATAAATGAAATGTCAGGCAGTAATAAAGATGTTGTTGTTAGGTGACATCAGTCTATTTCAACTCCTGCTGACCCCACGTGTCAGAGCAGAGAACTGCTCCACGGGGTTTTCTAGGCTGTGACACTCATGGAAGCAGACGGCCAGGTCTTTCTGCTGCCAAATCACTGGGTGAGTCTGAACCATCAACCTTTAAGTTAGCAGCAGAGAGCTGAACCATCATCCTACCAGGACGCCTTTAATAAAGATGAAGTACCAGGAATAAATGGAAGAAAGACCTCCGTGGTTAAATGATA